TTAACACGGATCTAGGTCTCAGGGGCAAAAGGGAACTGAGTTTTCGACTGGGTGCTCTCCGATCGCCTCTCTTCCCGGGTTTGCGATCGGTCGTTTTGCCCCTGAGATCTAGACCCGTATTAAGCCTTGGCGTGATCCTCCCGACCTCCAAATTCGAGATTCCTCTGCTTTCGTTCCGCTGAAGGTAAAGCCTGAGCCAGCGTGTCTCAGCCTTGGCAACTGTAAGAGCGATGCGCGCGCATGTTACACGGATCGGGGAAAGAGAAAAAGAAACGAGGATGAATAAAAAGAAAATAAAGTTTCTGGAGGGCGCGCTAAATAGATCTGTCAGTCTTTCCATAGTATTCTGACGTTCTGTTCAGAAAGAACAGCAAAATGTTTCGGTTTCAGTAACGTCTGGTCTGCTTTAACCCATTTTCACTTTTCCTTTCTGTAAAAGGTCTATTTTTCGACCTGGGTTTGGAGATTGGAGGGGCTGAATCAAGTTGAATCAACCGGGATGTGCAAAGAGCAATTTGAGTGTCCTCCTTAATTGTCCTAAAACTTTTAAGGATGACAATGATGTGCAAGTAATGATAGTAAATAAGGCTCTTACTCTGCTCAATAAGATTTGATTTCCTGCCCTGTCCACTCCAAAATGTATAGCCCAAAGCTTCTGCGGACATTTTCTCCTTCAGTCTGTAGCAAGTAAAACAATCCATTTCATCTCTTTTTCCTGACACTCTCCTAGTTCCACAAGTATACATCTTATGGAATAATTGCTCCCAGACCCGAATCATTTCAGACCACAATATCAACTGCAACGGCTGTAGAAAAATGCACAGGAGCTGTGATTCTGGCTGATCTGTACTTGGCAATCTGTTTATTGAACAGGTGCCCTACAAAATAAAGATGGAATTAATTGATCGAGACTGTGTAAAACCTTAAAGGGCAATCCGTGGAGGGCTGGCTTTCCACATGTTTCTGACACCGTATGTTTCCTTCAGAATCTTTCACGCTACAGTCTTCCCGTTCTTAAAAAATAGAGTTTAAGAATATTTAAGCAAAGATAATCATTGGAAATCTTTGGACTTTACCTACTCTCTCCAACAGAACTCCAGGCAAACCTATTTAAATATTACAGTCTGGAGGTTTCTAAAATCCACAAATCACACCATCTAATCAAGGAACATGTCTTGTTTTCTCTGACTAGTATTTTCTCTGGAAAATTCCATTTCTGGTGGTGTTGGGCGGAGAGTTTGGGAAACCAGAAACAGTTCTTCTCTTCCCCCCCCCCAATTTTCTAAATTATATTTATCATCTGTACCGTCTTTTCTCAAATTCCAAAGCATTAACATATTCTTCCAATTTTTAGCACTGTTGTGAGAACAAGGAGTAAAATCATGATTAGCACGTGCAAATGGAAAGACGACTTCCAAGCCCTACATGACCATTAAAACCTGGGGCTGCATTCACGCAACAAGCTAAGCCTTAAATGGTTTCCTTCTTTGTGGTTTAGTGTGAATCCCAAGCACTTAGTTTATTTAATAACCCATAGTGAAACTTGGGATGTTGTGTGAACATAGCCAGGGAGTAAGCTAATCTCATTCTCCTTCCCGTTCAGGCTAAGCCCACAAACATATTTGTCCACTCTTGGGAGGCAGTGAAACTGACTCTCTTATAATTCTTTTGTAGCAAAAGTTTAGAACCAAGTAGGAAAATCCCATCTCTGGGGACTGAGTGGGACTGAGTTGGATACTGGCGTGGGGAGGGGGTTAATTCATGCATGCTGCTTATTTTTCTATTCCTCCCCCCCTTTTTGAAACTAGACCAACAGGTTAGAGTTTTCCCAGAGCTATTGCCTATCCTGGCACGGTCAAAGGGATGGGACGAGATGGGACAGTGCGCGTCTGGAAGGACTGGAACTACTGAAAAATTCAATCTAACACAACATCAACCATCTGCAGAGACAATTCCTCAGAAATGGTTGGTAGAAATATTCAACTCACCCTGCCTGGTCATAAAATTGGGAATCAAGTTTTGATGTCTTTCTTTTCCTTGTACTCCCGAGAGAACACAAGTGGCTGAGCGTCACAAGCCCACGTTGAATTGGTGTGGAATATTTTGGGATTCGGTGGGTTTTGTGAAGCAGGTCATCTCAGTAAACCATGATGGGGTCCCTCTCTCTGGGCATCACAGTTTACATGAATACAGGTATTGGGACTTGTTAATCCAGGTTTAGGGTTTAGTGTGTTTTATGAATCCTGTCTATGAGTCTGATATCTGAGTAGGCACGCAGTGAGATACACAATCAGCATATTGAAGACCACAGTGGGTCCAATGGGAGTGAAGCTCCAGTCATTTTAGCTTGTATTCTGAATCCTTGGGAAGGAAGGAACAGACCGTGGTTATCTCTGGTGTCCAGCCACTTGTATGTATTCAGAAAGGGGCATGTGACAGATTCAAGAGATCTGCATGAAAGTTAACCCAGAATAGCCACTTAAACTGCAGACTTGGTTTGTCTTTTAAAAAAAA